AACACACTTGTTTGTTTTTGCATGAAATTGTATCTCCGTCTACGGTCTCATGCCGCTGCTGCTACTGTCTTACTATTCTAGCAACTTTAAGAGGTAATTTTACAATCTTTGGAAGTCATGAGCCCACCATTGTTCATTTGTGCACCAATTGTCATCTTTCGATCTTTTAGTTTTCGTTTTTCCCTAACAGTGAAGGCTAAATGAGATACACTGATTCTAGGTACATTTTTTAACTTTCTAGAAGATACATCGAAAACTAATTAGACTAAGAAGATTTAGTTTATAATTCAGAACAAGCAATTGTGGCAGGGTGGTGATGTGCATATGCAGAATTGTAGGAAGGTGTAAGAGATCAGTGCGTACGGTGGGGATCGCGCACTCAGACCTGGCCGGAATCCGTAGGGAAGCATCTGAGAGAAGGACCGAACGACTGTTGAGATAGAGCGCTAGATGCACACGCAGTCCCTGATGGACACTGCAGAGGAAGCCCGCTGTGCCACCCGGACGTCCAGATTTCATGGGCGGTCGTTGGCAAGACGGACACTGCTCTTCCAAGGAAGGAGGCATATGCACAGCAGAGGCAAGGTCACTTACAGGCTCGATGACACGATTTGCACCAGAGAGCTTTTTTCTTTTTTTTTTTCCAACTGTGCTTGGAAACCTTTTTCCCTTCTTGATATTTATCACCTCTGATGGCTGAAGAATGTAGACAGGTATAATGATCCTGCTTTTCACCAAAATTTGTACACCAAGGTAAACAGGTGTTTGCCTTATTTGTTTTAAGTTTTGACTTTCAGTTCTACGTGAATTAGCTTTTTCTCGGATGTTAAAACTTTGAATGTCCTTTTATGATTTTGTTTATATTGCAGTAGTATTTATTTCTTAGTGAAGAAAATTGTGTGTCATGTTAGCAAATGCAGCTCCAACTTACATGAACTAGACTCACTGCAGTTTATTTTGACCCATGTGCAAGGAATGTACACGGCAATGAGAATCATGCACTTTTTCTCCTTTGTAACAAAATTTCATGAGGCTCTGAAATTGTACACATTGGTTAGAATTGGGCTTTGGGAGAAGAGATGCTGGCACTGAACCCCTTGGTGCTCAAAGGGAGAAAATCCCCAGCTCTCCATGCCGAGGGGTTGAGACAGAAGGATGTTGCTGTTGACCGTTTGAGAAAGGAGACGCTCTGACGGCCCGGCAACATCTCGCCATGAAAGGAACTGCGACCGGCGTGACCGTGACAAAGGCACTGTACTTGGCAAAATGCACACATCTCGAGTATTCACAAAGTAGGCAGTAAGGGGTAAGAACCTGGTGTGTTTATTCTGATCATGGTACATTTATCACTGAATTAAGCCATCAGGGAGAAAACAAAACAACACACACAAAAAGAACACCTCCAACTTTTCTTTTTCTGTATATATTCATGTCCCCAAACTCCAACATTTCTCACTGAAAGGGGACATGTATGCAAACCTCATCTTTCTCCTTCATTAATGATGATCTTCAGATTAAACCCTTTGGTGCTAGGAGCTGACATTTTCCAAAGCAGCCTATGAAGTCCAGGGGCTGGGGGCACTCGCCGCGGCCGCGGGAGGCCAGCCGGCCCCGTGGAGCGATCGTGGAGATGTCTGTAGTCACACGTTCTGATAGCTCCCCGTGGAACACTGCGGCATGACGTGGTATGACAATTCAGATGCATTGTGTGGAAGAGCAAGTGACTTTCTATGTAGGATGAATCATATTCATACGCAGATGTCTTAGCCTCGTGGCGCTGGAAGTGTGGATCTGTAGATGAGACACCACTGCTGGCGGTGGGCGGGCCACTGGGACTGACGGGGGTCAAAGGGCATTTTACTAAGGCAGCTAAGACATATTCAGACATAGGTTTTATCCTAATTTTTCATGTTCCTACCTGAGTGAAGTTCATCCTTAGCATTGAGTAGGAAGTTACAGGACATGGTAGTTCATTCTTACTTACACATGTCGCTTCACTTTTTCTCCCTCCTTGGAATTCTGTTGAATGTTTCACTTTGACCAGAAAGTAGACTAGATGGTATGTCCTGTAAGTTGTCTCACATCCATTTTATCCAAGAGGAACAGGTAGAGGCAGAGAAGGCGGCTGAGGCTGGCTGATGTTTGTGCGGAGCAGCCCTCTGTCTCGAGGAGGGGGACCCCGTACACTAAGGACTTGGATAGCTTCCCCCCCGCAACCTTAAGGTGATTTCCTGTAACCTTGGCCAAGGACACTTCCTGAGGATGAATGACCTTGCTGACAGTGCCCCGGGCTGGCCACTCCTCACAGCTGGCTCGGTCCCCAGCCCACGCGCGTGCAGAGCTCGCTCGCTCTGGGCCTCGAGATGCGCCAGGGGCCCGCAGGGCCTTTCCTTGGCTTTCACGTCCAGCGCCCCTTGCTCTCACTCCCAGGTGTCCATCAGCTGGTGCGGAGGAATGACAGGAAAACAAGGGTGTGTGCGTGTGTGCGTGTGTAGAGGGAGGTGTCCGCATCTGCCCTTGGGGCTGCCCATGGCGGGGGTGGGGGCTGCCGTGGCTGGGGTGGGGGCTGCTGGCACAAGGCAAGGCCCGGAACGCAGCATCACTCCATCAGAACACGGGTCAGACGCTGCGGACTCCATCCCGCACTAACTTCCGTGAAGTCTGCCCTCTTGTCTTAATGCAGCCATCTGGGAGGAAATTGGCCATTTCTGCTTGGATTTTTTGGCGGGTTGCTCACAGCTTTGCTTTCTACACTAATGACATAGCATTATTCCAGTATTGTTTTCCATTTCCCTTACCTGATTTCCGGCTTCTTAAAGCTGACTGTTCTTGCAGGGGCCCCTTGCTTCTCCTAGAGGACAAAAGTAAGGGCCTTCCTTACTAACTGCAGGGTCTCTGTATTACACCTCAACGTACACACTTTGCTGCTACTGTTCGTACTGTCTACAGTAGAATTTCCTTATCTTGCTCCTGGTAGTGCATTACAGGCAAGCATGAAATGTAAAGTATTTATTTAAATAAAAAGAAAACCTCTAAATTGGTAATTGAATTACCTCCCTGTAGCTTTATAGTTTGTGACATTTCTTGACCTTGCTAGTTCTTTCATTAGATCCGCGCAAGATCTAGTCATCTGGTTAAGGATTTTAAGCAGACGCAACTATGAACCCAAGAAAAACTGTATTACTATTACTGTCGGTCATACTAAAACTGTTCATTTCCTTAAGTATATGACCCACAAGGATGTGAAATAACTACAAGAAACTGTTTTTGTACACTGTACATCCTTAGTATTTTTACACGTATATGATAGGGATGCACATTATTTTCCTTCGTACAGACGGCTTAAATAAAGCACTATGTCAATCTGCTACTTCTCTGTTTATTGTTGTTGGATGTGGTTCTGTAGTCTCAGAAAATCAATTCTTTTCTGGAAAAAAAAAAAGATTTTTAATAGCTCCAGCTGGTATTAACCTACCCTGTATAAAATGTGAGAGGAGAATAACTATTGTCCATCTCTTGTAGCCCCAGACACACGCAGGACTGCTCTGTTATTAGTTCAGTAAAATGGCAATAGTGCAGTTGTGCAAACTTGGACAAGGGGCCGCTTCTGAAGGGGAGGTGCCGGCCCTTCAGCGATGGGTCTCAGGCGCATCTCCCGTGAAGTCAGGGATGGAAGAAGGGGGCTCCCTGGAGATGCGTTAGGGACCTAACAAGCTTCACACCCGATGGTTTGGGCCCAGAACTCTTCAGGAGTGTCGCTCCTCAGTAATGTCTTCCTGATAACCTTAACACGTGTTGCTCTGCATACTTCCTTTCTTAGGATGTACGTTGGCAAATTAACAAACTTAGTCGTGGGTGAGAGATGGGTAGGGTGGTTGTACTCCAGTCTGATTTATCTAGACTTATTTTGGATGGGGCCTTTTTCTGATTTTACCTCATAAACCTACAGTTGTACAAACTTGGCTTTGCTCCTGACTAAGCTGAGTAGAGGAATGGCTTTGGGACCAGAGTTAGGCACTTGTGTGTCACACAGCCAGATCTGAGGGCGTTCTTCCGTGTGCTCTTCTCTTGAAACCACTGGGATGGACAGATCCAGGAGGCTAAAATAAAGTGACCTCTACAATTCTTTAAGGGTGCTATTTGTAGAATATTGTGTAATTTATTTACTGTAGTCCTCAAACAGAATTAGGGACAGTTAACATATCTTAGGTGACAACCTTGACGTCTAGCACATTGGATTAAATAAAAAACTGAATCCAAATATTAGAAGTTCTGCTCTTTCAGGCTTGAACCTTTTCCATGCTCGAGAGACTTTCGAAAGGTCTTTGCGTGTGTATCATCCCACCTCCTCCAAAGCCTAATCCCCGTCCATCCGGAGAGGCCACGGGGGCCCGGTGAGAGCAAGGGTTCGGGAACACTAGCCAGGAGGAGGGCCTGAGGTCAGGGCCTCCTCCCGCCCGCAGCCTTGCCTTGCCTTTAGCGCTTCATTGTCCTCCTCAAAGACAATACAACACTTTCAGTGCCCAGTTTTTATTACTTTCAAGCATCTGAGGGCTTAACTGTGTGTAGTAGAAATATTCTCTTAAAGTAAAAAAACGATCTGTGTACAGATATCTGATAGACCTCGAAGTCAACTTTGCAATTCCACAAAGTACATTCGTAGGCTCCTCTCAAACACCGCACATTCGAGAAGAAACCCGACACCACGAAGCCAAAGATGCTTTCTTGTCTGTTTTCCTTGTGAACAGAGTGGACAGGATAAACAGCGCTTCCTGGTGTCTCCCGACTGTGCCCAGAGTAGCAGGATGATAAGTAATGGAGTCTTACGAGATGTTGATTAAAAGCATCAGAAGTTAAAGGATGCTCTCTAGCTCACGCAGAGGGAAGGAAACGTGAATGGCAGGAAGAAAGTCTGGTCCTTAATACCCTCTGGCCTAGTTAAAATATGTGCCTTTTTGGTGTTTCGTTCATCACTACAAGGTAAAAAGGAAACATTACAATTCAGGTCTTTAAAAAGTTCATTTATTGAAAGTCGTGTGTAACAGCATACAAATGAGTAGATCTAAAAACATCATCACTTCAAGCCATTTCTGGAAACATAGCAGGAGGGCTCCTCATCTGGTGTCAGAGCTGAGCCGCAAGCCGCCCACACACAGTGCCACCGAGCAGCGGATGGGGCGCCGAGCGAGCGGCCCGCTGCCATCCCGGGCGCCGGCCACTGTTCCGGAAGGTCGTGGTGTGCTGTGGCATCTCACGAACAAATCAGATGAATGTAAATATCTCTTTGTAAACCATTTATTTCACTCTGTTTCGTCCAGGTCAGCAATCAGATTGTCGCATGCTGGGTAACTGGAAAAAATGATAATAAAAAGTAAGTTTAAATAGATCTTGTTCTTCCCTGTGATTTGTCTTCTCGCTGGCTGAGGTGCCCCTTCTACGTTTACGGAGGAAAATCAACTCTTTTGCTAAAAATGCAGAGACGGTATGTAACCAGACGCATGAAAAGCTTGCGCTACTTGACCACGGAACGTGAGGTGAACGACTTTGTTTTAAGGCTTGAACTCTGAAAACCATCTGTACCCCAGAGGCGTGTCTGTCTCTTGAGGAAGGGCAGGCCGATGACAGGGTATGGCTGGAGAGCCACCACCTCCCTGTCAGGGGAAGGAGACCCCGATCCGCACCAGGGTCTGTTTACTGAAAACCGCTCAGACATTACAGCTGGGGAAGCTAGAACAAAAACAGGATGCAGGCCAAGTGTCCCTGAGACATTCCTAGTGAAATCAAAACGAGCTAAAACCTCCCAAGTTTTTAGTGGCAGACACATTATTATAACATATATAAAGGCATTTTTTTCACATGGAAACCACCTCCCACATGCTGGAAGAGGGATTTGGTGTATCTGGCCTCTTGGCTTTAAACAGGAATAAAGGTTTCAAAACCAGCTCGTGAAAACTGGGTTGAGGGAGTCACAGGTTAGTGGAGTGAGTACACCGTTGACGGCCCTGGCCCACCTGGCTGCTCAGATTAGTTTAACCCACGGCCAGAAGTGGTGCCAGAAACCACTGCAGACAGTTTCATTGCACAAAACAGGGCACCTCCTGTGTACCTACCCGGTACCACGTGGGAAGATGAATAAGACACAATCCTTGACCTCGAGGAGCAGGTGGTCTGGTCTGGCTGGCTGGCTGGCAACCACCTTGCAGAAAGACATGTGGGCCTTTGCCCTCCCCAACGCAGATTTCCTGAGCTAGAATCGGCGGAGGGAGGGGGGCTCCTGTGAGAACCCAGTTTCAGCCACGATTACTTGAGGATTTCCGAGACAGGATAGTGAGCAAAAGATCAGAATTCACGCAAGAGAAATAGGAAAGTCAGTCTGTTGCCTCTTTTGAAAGATGCAAAAAGGGATTATTTCCATCTCAGGCTTCTCAGTGTGTGTGACACTGATCGTGCCTCTTTAGTGCGCAAGTCTGTAAGTAGAAGGGTCATTAGAATGTCACGTGTGCAGCCGCCACGCTTGGAACGCAGGTGGGGGCTGTACACTGAGTAAGCGAGTGGGATGCGTGTCTCTGAGCACAAGGATAAGCATAAACCATGACAGGCGTATCGAAAAAGAAAAATGTAACTGAACTTCGGGTAGAAGACACACACCCCAATGACGTGTGCACAGAGTAATGGTAAAGACCTGCAGTAGAAAGAAAATATCACAGGAATTCTTTTAAACCAAACTCGAGGAAACTGGCATCTCTCCTTATAATGAGTTCATAGTGCCTGTGGGCTCCGGGCCCATCTAGTAACTGATCGTCACCTGACCCGTTCCCTGGCGGCCCTCAGACGGCTCCCCGGAACCCTCGACCCCCCGCCCCTGTGGGACCGCTTGGGAGCAGCGCAGATGTGAGGTCCCCAATGTGAGCAAACAGGAGCCAGGCCGAATCTCTCTTCCTGGAGCAAATTCCCTGTCACTGTCTCTCCGCTGGTTTGATATTTTATTTGGTTCTGATGCAAAGCCTGTCCTGACGTTAGGATTACAGCCCCAATATTACCGTTCACTGGTCCGGGATCCCCAGTGCCTACGGCTGCCCGCCCCATCCTGTAGACATCTGAGTAATTCACCCCGTGCCCATGTCACTGTTTGGTCTATAAATGCAGCACCCAGTGTTGCCCTCCATTTGCTGGAGCTTTAGTAGAGAACATTCCTCAGTGCTCCCCCCATCCCGCGGCATGTCCAGAGACAGAGAACCTTTAGCTACTGCCCAAATCTCACTCCTCTGCCATCACTTCTTAGGGCTATTTCCAGGAAGTTGGGTCCACCGTCCGTCCACACCAGAGTGATCATGGTCTGGCTGTGAAGGGGGGGTGAGGACGTGCGTGCCAGTGGGACATTAGCTGGTCTGAACTGGGACTGGAGCCCTCGGCCGCCTCCCCATCCTCTGCCTTCAACCTGTCACCATGGCCCTTGCTGTGGCCTGCTTGGGTGGTGTGGCCACATCTGCCGTGGTCTGGGGCTGCCCTCCCAGCAAGGGGAGGGCCGACGGGGCACCCTGGCAGCTGCTCTTCTGAAATACTGTCCACAGATGACAGACGTGCCCCCCGTCTGCACGCCTGCTGCTGCGACCCCATTTTCTTTGTTCTCGTTTTAAAAACCTAATAGAGCCTTCTCTCCACAAACCCTGACTTTTGTGTTTATTTCTGAAGTTTAACTTGAAATTCAGAGTTTAAAAAATGAGTCTCTCTGGGTGACCTGAATTGTTCCCCAGGCAACCACGCTGTGGGGTCCAGCAGAGCCTTTTCTGCCTCTTTGTTCCCAAGCCCCCGGGCTCCCCACCCCCCACCCCTGGGAATGCCCAGCCTGCCTCGCCCCTGCTCACAGACCGCGCATGCTCAGCCCCAGCCTGACCCGTGCTTCCACCGGCGCACCTCCACCCAGCCTCTCACTAGTTCCCCCAAATGCACACCCCCACCCGTCTCGCTCATTTGCACGTTTTCCGTCTCTGTGCGGCCAGGTCAAAAAATGGCCCGTTCCTTGTGCCTCTGGCAAGAAAGCATCTATTTTTAACCAGAGAAAAGCATCCCACCCCCACCTCCAACTGGGGCATTCTCAAGCTTGTCCCCAGTGAACAGAGCTCCAGGGAAGCCACCAGTAGCTACTGCCTGGGGGGGCCAGAGCCGGCTGCAGGCCCTACCCCAGGAGAGAGGCAGATGGACGCTCACCCAAGCAGCCCGCAGCCCAGGGACTAACCACCTTCTTGAGTTCAGTTCCCTGCCAGTCACTTCCCAGTTCTGTTCACTTCATCTCTGGGCCTTCTTTCTCCTACCTGTACAGAAAGGACACTGAATGATTTATCCAGTGGCCCCTTCACACCTGCCAACTTGGCCGGCTTCACGGTCACCTTCACCGGAGTCGGGGTTGTGTGGGGGCTCCCTCCTAAAGGGAAGCCGGTTCTCTTTTTAAGGGTTTTTGTTTGGTTTTTGGTTTCGGTTTTGGTTTTGACCAGGACCTGAGTGATAGGAAAGCTAAACCACTTCCCTGAAGTGGTACAGAGCTGAGATCTGAGCCCCCGGTGGTGTGACCTCGAAGTCCAGGCTCTCTTGTGCTCTTCTGACCTGCTCAGTGAGAGCATATAAGCCACCAAGTGTGATCTTTGTGGAGCTGAGCAGGAGTCATGGGGAAGGCCGGCCAGCGCACACAGGCCACGTGGACTCCTCCAGGTGGTCACCGGTTCGCTCGGAGGAAGGTGCCCTCACCAGTCCTCTGCAGAACTTCGTGGAACATGGCCTTCAGGGGGGCCCGCGACGTGGCAGAAGGCGCAGGGCACACGGCGGGCTGCCTCCGGGTCAGCAGAGTCCCGCCTTGCGCCCCGCTAAGTGGCCTACACACTCACTGACCTTCCCAGGAATCCATCTGGCTGTGGGCAGGTGCAAAACGGGCCCAGAGTTCACGATGAGGTCACCAGCACACCCGGCGGTCCTTCTCCCCTCGGGCCTCTGACGACCACTGGTCTGTGCAGACAGAGGTCAAAGCCCCAGGGTCCCTAGACCATGGGGACCACAGGCCTGGCTCCCTGTGTTTGGGCTCCCAAAGCGGGGAGCATCAGGAGAAACCAGAGAAAGGAAAAGCAGAGGCGGGAAAGCCTTCGTTGCAGAACGAAGGCGGGGCGATGCTTCCTTGGCTTTCTGGAAAACAGCAGCTGGAGCTGGACTTGGACCTGCGGCCCGGCGGCCGGCGGGGGGGGGGAGGACCGCGCAAGGCCAGGGTCAAAGTGCCCAGGCGCCCCCGGATCTGGCAACTCCTGCGCCCCGCTCCTCCTCGGAGCTCTGCCGACACCAGGGTCCCACACCTCGTGCAATCCCACGATGTCATCTTCCAGCTTTCTGGAATCTCGCGAGTCCCGCAAACTTCCTCTGCACATGGGCAGGTGTCTGTGTTTTATAGGGACCATGTTTCCATGGTAAATAGATTTTTAAGAATTCCCAAAGGACAGACAGTGTCACCAACAGCACAGAGAGGAGCCTCTGGCTGCCTCATGTTTGAAAGCGTTAAGAATAAAGACAACACTGACATTTGGGGTTGTAATGTGACGGAATCACAGTCTTTTAAAGGCAAGAACCACTTCTCCACACTCCATGCAATATTCAGTGTTTTGTTCACTTGTCTAATTGGATTAAAATATTTAGCTCCCTTTAAAATCTTGATTGTGAATTTATATTGCAAAATGTAACGTCTGACTCAGGAAGCAATAACTGGAGCAAGTGTGTCTGAAGCAACAGAAAATTCGATTTATTTTTCTTCCATGAGTCTCATTCTGAAATTATTCACTCTTGGACAAACTGAACTGTTAAACGGAAGAGCAAGTTTGGCTTCAATGAAGCCGTATGTGCTTTTCAATATTAATTACACACAGGGCCTTCCGTGGGGACAAAAAAAAAAAAAAAAAAAACCCACAAAAGTTAAACTGTGCTATTCGAGTTGCTCGGGGAAGTTTCTCTGAGGGTCGCGAGACCCTTATGTTGGAAACACAGCACCAGGGGTCTCGTGTCACTCTTGAAAAACACTCAGGCAGCAGGGAGTTAATGACATTTTAGCTGCATATGTTCAAGTGTATTTAAAAAAATATGCAAGTCACTTTGGTTGACAGTGTCTTGTACACAGTTTTGAAAGAATCAGGGCAAACTTTAACAGAGTCAGTTTTTATTTGAAAAATATTTTCTGGGAATGTATCAGTGTTTATTTTTGAGACTGACAATTCGGGTGAAAATCAGGATAAAAACAAAAAAACAACAATTTGGTTGAAATCAAATTGTTTGTTTTCATCTATTTAGAATTCTTTCCAAAAACTCTTGGTTCAGGAGGAGGCTTTCTAATTTATTTTATTCAGTGTATTTGCTGTTCTATTCAAGCACCATCTGTCCTGCAGGTAGCTAACTTTGGGGAAGCACCCACGTGAGGCCGGCGAGGCCCCCAAGGCTCAGGAAGGACCCTCACAAACCTGCGTACATCTCCAGGTCCCATCCGGGGCGAGCGGCAGGCACCCCCCACTCCTCAGCAGGACCCCCGCCTGGTGACCCTCCCTCAAGCGGCCATTTCTGAAGGTGCCCTGCCCCTGGCTTCAGGTCACAAATGGGTCCTGCCTCCCCTCCTCCCCTGTGCCCGGTTCTTCGCTCCTTTCAGCTCTCTTGCCACATCCTTCCATGTAATGAGACAATGTCCATGATTTTCCTTATAATCACATGTGGCTGCTGGATCCAAGCACAAGTTTGAATCAAATTAGAAAGTCAGTTCACTGCCAAGAATACGCAAAAGTCACAGGGCCAACTGACTAATCACTGATAAGTCAGTCTCAGGAGAGCTTTCTGACTGTAGAGATGCTTCGTCTGCAGGGACTGGAAGGGCGCCCCTCCCCAGACTGAGCACTGAGGACGGAGCCCTAGGGCCCGGGGGAGAAGGTGGCTATCAAAAGACGCAAATCTGAACCCCGAGTCATTGCCCAATGAGTAGTTCCTCCACAAACCCTCGGGGGTATAAAACCATCCTCTAAATGGACAACTTCTGTTCTTTCCCATCTCTCAGCTGCCATTCTCCCCAAGAAGAGACTGATCTCAGCAGCTGGTGCCACCCTCCTTGGCCAGATGTTAGAGCCCCAGGTGCTGGGTCCCAGACCACTGACCCCCTGCTCCCAGCCACCAGGCCCCACCACCACTCCCCTGAGACCCAGCCAGAGTCTCTGTGCCCACCAAGAAGAGGCGACAGGGCCTGTGCCCAGGGAGGGGCCGTGGGGCCATGTCTGCAGGCAGGCTGGGTGGGGGTCTTCAGGATGACCAGCATAGCCATTTGAGGACATTTTAAAAGCCATTTTCTAGAAGTCCCCCACCCGCAGCATGAGGCAGGAGAGTAACAAAGCCACCGCTTTTAGTCACACGAAGAAAGGCGGCCCCGAAGCCCTGAGCCAGGCCCACTGGCAGCCCGCGGCCTGCACACCAGCAGTGTTGCAGGGAAAGACGGGAATTGTCATGGTTAAAATCATCACCGTGGCCTACTTACCACTACGACCGGCTCGCTCTGCCAGACTGTTGTGCGGGTTTCAGGATGTAAGCAGAAACGATTGAGAATAAGAAAGCCTTCTGAACAGATGTCAGTTTCCCGTCAGAGGCGGCAGGCCGACCCGAGGTCCGTCATCTGCTCCAGGGCCCAGGGCTCGGGGCCTGGGAGCAAACCAGAGGCCTGGGACTCAGCTTCGGAGCAGCAGCCCAGGCCAGGCGCTCTCCACTCCCTGCTGGGTGTCGGGTGGACAGAGTTTGAGAGTCTGATACAAGCAGTTAAGTCCTTATGCTTAATCCATCCAGGCCGAGAAAACGGAAGCCTTTAAACGGTTCATCCCTAAACGAGAGATGAACCAGTGTCTCTCCAGGAAAACAGGGAGCGGGGTCAGTCACTCGGGAGCTCGCAGCAGGCTGTGTCCTCCAACATCCCTGCTGGGAGCACACAGCGGCCTTGTTCACCTCAATGGTTGGAAGCTAAACTCACAATTCCAGTTTATTCCACGGCCGAGTAGGTCTAATGCCACACTTGGGTAGAAAGAGCAGGCCTTCGGTTTAGATATTCCGCAGCGAGCTTGCAAAACTGGATCCCTGCCTCTTCTTTGAACACCAGTATTTGCTACTGAAAGCCAACAGTCCCTCTATGAAATGTCTTTTGTCCTGTTCATATTAAAATAACTCCAAATGTACTGTTTGAATCTGAAAGATCCCTTTAGAGATGAGCCAGATGGGCTGGTATCAGATAACTCAGGATGGTTAAAGCATCTCTGTGGCTTCAGGCAAGAGAAGAAAGACCTGCTCATTTTTCTGAGGATTTTTTGAGGTTTTGTTTTTTTTTTTTTTAAATGCATTTTATGAAAATTTTGCAATCCATTTGGCAATTATCAAGTTTTTTAAAGCCCTGGAAGAGGTTTCTAAGCATCGATGGTCCATGTTAAGATCTGAATGGCTGCAAGGTAGGCAGATGGGGAGTTAAAAGGGAAACCCTACATGACAATGCTCTGGTCCAGAATCAACAGGAAACTGCCATGTGCTCGGAGCTTGTACAGAAGACGCCCCACAAGTCTTATTCTGAAGTGGTTCTTGGCTCCTAGAGCCAAAGGATTCACTCATGCTAGGAGCCCCTGTCCCTCCACTGCGGTGACAGGAGCCTAGTCACCCGCCTGGGGAGCCGGTGGCCCCAACCCTTGGCTGGCTTCACACACAGCTCGCTCGCCCTGCCTCCTGCAGGACCCGTGCAGACAGTTGGGCTGTGGCCCTGGTCGAGTCCGAGCCCTTCGGAGCCTCCAGGGCTCCGAGTCCCTCAGAATTACCCAACCAGCTTATTAAAAATGCCTATTCCTGGCATGTGTGAACAGAGGCCCTGAATCTGTGATCCTCGCAGTTACCTGTCTGCAGGCCTCCCGGACGACCATGGTGGTGTGAGAGGGTCAGTGGCACCAGGGCCACGGTGTACTGGTGGGCCCCCAACCCCAGGCCATAGTTCAGCGCCTGGCACGGGGGGTGTTCTCTTACTCTACGTGGAAAAATGAGTAGTTCCTGGCGAGGGCTTCAGTGCGCTGAGTGGGAAAATTCCCTCAGAGGAGAGCGGCTCCCCGGTACCCATTCAGCACATTTTGAAAGAAGAATGACAGTTTCCCCCTCTTCTCATTTCCAGAGGCATTTTTCCCATTAATCATTCCAAGCACTCACTGTGTGGGCACCTGGGGGCCATCCTAATACAAGGTCCTAAGACAAGGAGGAGACCGTGGCCAGCCCCTGGACTGCCTCATTATCCTAACACATTGCTTGATGGGGCAAAAAGTACAGCTCCTCTGACAGGAAGAGAAGCCACTCAGGGGAAAAAGGTCTCACGCCACCCTGCAGACTCACCTGGATATTCTCCTCCCTCCATTGTCCCTTCTGGTGGCCCCAGGTCTACCCTCAACAGAAGGCTGGGGCTGTGGCGTCAGCCTTAGGTGCCATGTATAGTGTCCCTACTTGCTAGCTGAGCAGGCTGTTGGTGCCTCGGTTTCCCTATCTGCAAAGTGGAGACAAGAAGCGATCTTTCAGGCTCGTTCAAGGGTAGCAAGAGCTAGTGTGCGCTCTACCGGTAGCGCTGCTGGGCTCAATTACCCGGCAGCTGACTTCGGACAAGACTCCTGTAGTCCACTCACCGTGGCTCCCCCAATTGGCAGCCCCTCTTTCCTCAACCAATTCAAACTGTACACATCCCCCAGGGGCGGTTCAGAGTCTACTTCCCGCAAGAATGCTGCTCACCACCGTAGCCCTCCATGTCCTTCCACGGGCTGCGCCCCTCAGTGTGGCCTGCTGAATCGAGGGTTGCTGTGCATGAACCTTAGCTCCCTCAAGAGGGCAGGCCCATGGCCCTCACATCCGTGCCCCCACTGTGCCCAGCATAATCTTCAGGATCCCCCTGCCAGCTTACGAGCTGCCCAGTGGGATCACTGGGGATTTCACCTGTTCTGACACAGCTCTGAAACAAGGAACGAGAAAAAGCCCCCCACACAGACGCTGCTGTGTTCTCTGGTGGGTAAGCCGGCCCAGAGGACTACCCCGGCCCCCCACGCCTGCGCTGGGTTTGCACAGTACCTGGGATCTCAGACATTCCACCTCTTCTGACAGGCTCTGTCTCTCTAGCAGAAGCTGGTTCTGCTTTTTGAGAAGCTGCACCAGCTGCTGGGCCGTGGCCTGGCTGTGCTTGTCCAGCTGCTTTAGCCTGCAGAGAGATCCACCACAGAGTTAGGGATGGGTCCCGAGACGCGGGGGCAACCAGCTGCAGCGAGCAAGGGGGGCAATGGCCAACTTCAGCCCTTCAATGCGTCCTGCTGCTGTGCGTGTCCGAGGGAAGCCCTGGTTGGTGAACCCGGAGCTGTAAATCCAGGTGACCCTGAGGGGCGAGGTGCTGGCCACAAGCAGGCTCTTGGAACGCAGCACTGATTAAGCTGAATGGAATTGTATCAAATGTGAAAGGGAATCAGGAGCCTTCTCCAGGAGTTGTCAATGAGGAAACACACAGAGAAGTTGGATAAGGAGAAGCAAAACTGAAACCTTAAACTCACAGAGGTCGAGGATGAGGGGCCTAAATGCCTCCATTGTTCAGCTGGAAACGTCTCTGGCAGGCTGGAGCAGACGGCCCGCCCTGGCTGGGGAAGTGGGTGAGGGACAGCAGAAACACTGAACTAAGGGTTTTCCATTATTAATCACTCAGTCAATCATGAGCTCCGGCATCGCTGACCAGATGTCTTTAAAGATCCTAAATTTGTCATTCTGCTGATGGGTCCTCCTCTCCAGACTTGCTAATTCACTCAAACTATTATCCTCATTTGTCCACAGACGGCTTCCTACAGCACACTCACCCCTGGAAATGTAGGCTTTGGATTAAATTTAGAGTTGCACAACTACCCAGAACTGTTCTGGAAAGAAGTTGGCTGTGTCCTGCACCCTTCCTGGCCGGCCAAAAGCACCAATGGTGAAATTAACTTGTATTTTCACAGGGAAAGGATTTTAAAAGCTCAAGATGCTTTTCAAACTCCAGGCTACATGTCCAACACTCACTGAGTCAAAGGCCATGAGGTGATGTGCAGACACTGGCGTCAGGCTGCCCTCCGGTTAAGCCTTCCTGTGGCCGGCCAAGCTTCTCGTGCGCTCCCAGCACAACCAAGCATTGACGAGGGCAGAGACCTGGAACTGGGGGTGGGCGGACTCCTTTCCTAACCCAACAGGGAGGCGGCACCTGCAGACAGGTAAAACTACATTCTGGGAAACCTAATGACACTCTAGTATTGTTCATGCTCTCCCAGATTCTCCTGCCACCTGCAAGCCTGTCCATTTCCGAGACTGCACTGACCGCGGGCCCTGCCCGCCCTTCTCAACCTCGGAAGGATTTTTGTGGGCATCTTTGTTCAAGCCGTCCCCGAAGACACACTCGCGTCCCCACCCCGGTCTCGTCCTCCTCCTCCCGCACTACGGGCTCCCCCTTTTCAAGCACACCCCGGCCTTTTGCTACTTCCTACTGCAGCAAGTGAGAGGAGCCGGAAACCGAGAGCCAGCGGCGGGCGCCCAGGCAGCAGGACGCATGCTCACACAGCCCGCCCTGCCCCCTGCGCGGGAGGCCGCCGTCTGGCCCCGCCCACAGGCCCAAGCCCCGCCCCCTAGCCTCAAGCCGCCGTTGGGTTCTGGAAAAAGCGCAAGGAAGAAGCCAGGGCAGGACTTAGTTCTTCCCTCCTGTGTGTGTGGCTGTTCAGGGCCAGGGTCGGCTGCTTCGGCCCTGACTGGCCTCCCAGTGTCCCGGATCAGGCTGGGGCAGAACCGAACACCACGATGTTCCAACCAAGTGTGAGCGGTTTCCTGCTTCGACATTGCATACACGGTAGTAATGCCCCCTGGCGCCTGTGACCCTGCCTCCGATCCTGGGGAAGCCAGGGCACTGCAGCTGTGGGAAGCCCCCTCTGTCCCCACGGCCACCCATCACACTGTCACATGGGGACAAGGTTTTCTGAGAGCAGCCTCAAAACCACCCCCGGGCGTCAGACCAAACGGGAGTTTTCCTGCACCGTCTCCTGGAGGGGCGAGGACATCCCAGGGCGGCCCAGAAGCCCCGCCAGCGGGCTGGGGTGGCGCGGGGCAGGGGCACTCTGCCCGGGCTGACACACCGACAGATGCAGGCAGCCACTGCTCATCTGAGCATCTGCTCTGTTGCCCAGCACTGGAGTGGGCCTGTAGAAGATGCAGAGGTGAGGAGAAGAGCCTTTTTCCTTGAGAAGCAGACAACCTGCTGCTTGGATATTTGAATCAGACGACAAGCATCATCATTAGCAGCTGAGCTGTCTAAACCCTTGGGTGGCTTCCCCCCTCCCCCAATCAAGTCCTGGGTGTGGAGACAGCCCCAGGCTAAGCGCTAGCCAGGTAGTAGCCCACTGGTTTCATGCTGTCTGGAAACAAATGCAACAGAAACACGGGATAAATGGATGACACCATTAAGGCTTAACGGCAACAAGGCGCCAGGAGTGGCCTTTCTCCATGTGGTCCCTTGCCCTGTGCTTTGATCAAATGGGATAACAGTCCTATGGACTGATGGCTTCAGTGTGTGTTTCTGGGCTCCTGGAAAGAGGTGGCTGCCTGATCCAGAGCTATGGGCTGAGCCAAACCCTGCTCTCCTCACAGCACAAAATGCCGGCCCTGGGCCAGCCACAATGGCTTACAGCCAGAAAGGGGGCCAGTTCCTGCCTAGACCCTCCTCCCTTGGAGCCCCCAGGACCTAGGCCAGGCTCTGTTGGCAGCGTTTTGCAAACCGTAGGCTTCAGATACCGGCGGCGATTACCTGAGAGCACCCAGGCCCCACCCAGAGTGGCTGAATCAAGCCGGGTGCCGTCCTGCAGAAGTACCACCGATGAAGTGAGGAGTAAGGACCTCGGGAGAGCCTTCCTTCCCTGAGGCAGAAGCCCCCCCAGCTGCACAGTGCGAGCCAACTTGCACACCCCAGGGCAGTCCATCTTGGGGGACTCTTCCCCGTTTAAAAGACATGCTCCCTCCTTGTTCAAGGTCAGCCTCTATTATGTCACTCACGTGCTGCGACAAAGTCAGTCACAAGCTCAGAAAAGGTAAAAAACAACAACAAACCCAAACCCACATTTGTTAAAAGACAGAAACAAAGAAGGAAACCCAGATTTTAGATAAAAGGGACTCGGTTAAGGAAATAAATTTCAATAGCAGCCCTCTTGAGGTGTTTTAGGAATATTGGGAAGACTTTTTTTTTTTTTAATTAACAAGTTATTTCTTGGAACAGCCGGCCCCAAACACCGCACAACCCTGCTTCTACTCTGTTCTTGGAGGTTTCACTACCATCGGTTAGAAGAGATATCTTGGGGTGTCCTGTGACACAAAAGTCATCTTTTATTTTCCATGCTGCTTATGGCTCTCATGTTTGTCCTTCTAAGTGCTCGCGCTCAGCCAGCCCCAGCTGCAGTTCCCACCACGGAGCGTGGCTAACGTTTACTGAGCCCTGAGCGTAGTCCCCCCGCATGGATTATCGAATTAAAAGGTAGGTGCTAACAGATGAGAAACTGACGCTGAGAGGTTCAGTAAAGTTGCACAAAGCCATACAGGAAGCGCTCGAGCTCGGAGGTGTTCTTAACTATTGTTAAGGAATGGTTCGTTCATTGAGTTAATTCAACAAATCAACCGGTCAACCCTTCCTTGGTAAGCACCTCTCATGGGTCAAGTACTATAGGGTAGATACTGGGAATACATCAGGAATTACAACTGGTCCCTGGAGGTGGCGGG